AAATATTTCTCACGTAACTGAAACCTTTAATATACGAGTATATCTAGCAGTTTTCATTATTCCCACAAAACACTTTTTAGTGTCTTATAAATCACACTCTCTGAGTAAAGTTTTCTTATCGCTTACAATGTTATCTAAAAACCGACAAAGCTTTTGTTTAATTCTAGACCTTTAAAGCTTTAATTCGAATACTTGTTCGAGTAAAACTGACTTGCACAGTCAATACTGAATTTAAACGAGTATTTTCAATAAAAGCATGGAACTTTAGACGCTAAACTGGAAGTTACCAAGATTCATCCAACAAATGACTAAGTTTATTACAAAATAAATTCAGAATATATACAAAGGAACAACAGAAGATTTATATTTTTTACAAGCTTGGAAATTGTCTTTCTTTTGTGTCGTTTGTGATGTATCGTAACTTTTCAGTTAATAATAATTTTTGCTCAAAGCTAAAAATCACAATTCATCTTTCAGATGCTTGGGTACTATTATGAAATGTTATTAGCCTCTCTGACAATCTGACCTTCAGAACTTTGAGTTTCGTAGTTCTGAAATGTGAGATGTTATTGGCTCGATAGGGTTTATGACCTGTGGCAATGAACCTTGCAGGAAAGTTCTGCAGCTTTTATTTTTTATGCTTATCTTATCGATTCCTTATAAATCTGTCGTAAATTACAACATTTAATTCAAAATTTTTGTCCAGGCCTTCGAAGCGAATCTGAAAAACTTTTACAACGTTTGGGAGATACGTAATGTGTTGATTAAAATGCTTTTTACTATATATTCTGTAAACATCTCAGAAAAGAGAAATGTGAAGTTTTATTTGCATCATTTATAGGAAATGTAAACTTAAAAACGTTCCTTTAAAAGGTAGCTGCTACGTGATTCTTTTTTTGTACAAATATTTCGACTTTTGTCGAAACAACGAGATGTTTGTCAACAGAAATTGATAGTTCGAAGTATAAAAAGCATTAGTTCGGTAAGAAATTCAATGATTCAGTATAAATGGCAAAGTGCAGAATTCGTAGATTTAGAAACTGCTGTCGACGTTATTATTTTAGTTTCAGGCAACAAGCTAATTACTCTGTTAGAACGTTTAGATTCACATTATTAGCGTAGTTTCTAAAAGTTTGCTAATTTAGGAGTTGGAAAGTTATATTCATTTATAAAATTTCCGTAAAAAAGGTTTTAATATATGTTTTTAAATTATTAATAAAATTAAATCTATGAGTATCTATGAAGCAGCGTTTTTCATTATAAATTTGAAATTTATTAAGTACTACTAATTGAAATTGAAATTTATCACATATGATTAAATATGTATGTTTATTAACGATTTTAAAACTAAAAATACTATTCGATGACATTATTTAATTAAGTTAACAACAATTGTTTTTAATAATAAATTATTAAAAAATTTTTTTTTTTGGTTCTTAAGGTGATTCTAAATTTCTACATACCGAATCGTGTTTAAGAAGTCAGTACTAAGGAAGTTTGAACATGTTGTGCACTTTATAAATAATTAATTATATATGAATTCATTATATGTACATACATCCAAGCATCAATTTGATAAAATCGATACGTTATCAAATCATGATGGTTCAATTTATTCCTATCAAAAATTAATGAGCCGCAGATAATAAATATAGTAAATATAACTTATTTCAGTTTTATAACAGATGGTATGCTTAACTTGAAAATAAAGATATTTGTCATTGAAAAAAAATTATTCGACTTTCATTCTTACAACCTTATGAATGGTTGAACATTGATGAAAAAATAAATAAAAGTCTAATCTCTAACGAATCTCGAGTCGTTATGAATGTTGAGAGTCTCATTATTACGGAGCATTTCCTTCATCGATATTCTGCTAACTTTTCAACTGCATTATAAATGTTAATTCTTTCCAAGGTAAAGCTGTTCTTTACGTTAGCTTAAAAATGATGTTTGGTTGTTATTAAATTTTTAAAAATTACGTTCAATACGTTTTCACTTTTATTATCAAACTCAAATCGTAAATTTTGGAAAAATGGAATAATCCGGAAAGCCCCAACGTTTTCAGCATTTTAATAAGAGACTGAAAATTTTATTCTTATTCCCACATATGAAAACAAGTCAGACAAATCTAATATAAATTAAAATCTCTAGTGGGTTGGAGTGTTGGGTCAAGTGTTATCTAAACATTTCAGGATTTCTGGCATGTAACGTGTTGGAGGTTGCTTTGCATCATCCGAAGTTGACGGTATTTCCGGCTTCCTTTAACAAATTGTTCAACTTTGGGGAGAAAATTTAACCGCTACATCTCATTAAACTTGCTCCACCATAAGCCACACTCTGTACGTGATCAAAATCCGGTCTCATTTAGCACTTGAAAATTAATTAAAACTACTTTATTTAAGCAAATTGTTGTTAGTCCTTGTGAAGGGCACATTCAAAACATTCCTTTAACTTCATATACAAAGTATCTACATTTCCAATTGATGTTTTTAACTTAGTTAGTCTTCAGTCAAGCTCAAGTTCGTTCTGTTTTGCTTTCAGCTTATGTGCAGTATTTAAATGGCAAAACTGAATAAACGAAAACAGAAGACAATGTAAAATATTCAGATTTACTATTAATTGTATGCATTGAAGCCGAATACATGAACATTGTAATTATGGTGTGGAGGTAAAATTAACGAGGATTTAACTGTTAACAACTTCATAGAACTAAATCACTAACAGTGTTCACATACTGTTTAGTCAAAATCGATAACTTATTACGAAGATCGTTTTATGGCTACTATTACCGTCGGTTATGTTTTTATAGATTGTGATAAAATATTTCCTATAAATGCATTTTTACGAACCTATTGATTAAATTACGTGTTTAAAAACAAAACTTTTGACAAAATAAAGGTCTTCATTTTTAATACAAATCAAAGAAAAAATGATTATGTGGAAATAGGAGAAATAGTTTCCTGGTCAGAATTTGCTATAATTCATATTGAATGTTAATGATTTTCTCAAATAAGGGATCTTGTTCAATTTATTTTATTAGGATCTGATAACATCCTCGAGATAGCTTAGAGAAAAGAACAAATGGAAGGCTGAAATATAAAAAAGAGGTTAAGTTTTATTGATAAAAGCGAAGCTTTCTGAATTAGTAAAATATCAATTTCAATTTTTGCTCACATTACACAAAATTTAATGTCAATAAAATTATAACAAAATTGGTAAAACACTCAAGGAAATGCGCCCCTGCGCTTTGCTGTTTTTAATTAACATTTAAAAATAAATCGTTCTAAATTGAAATTCTCTGGAAACTTTTTAACTGGTTTAAGATGATGTTATCAAAACACTAAGTTGATGCGTTTCAAGGCTTGTTTTACCTTGATGTGAAAGTAAAACTCAATTTAAATTTTTTTTAAAATATTATCTGATTGATTACTTCCAGTTATTACGAAATCCAATCTGTCATGCTCATAAAATTTCCTGTACAAAATGATGCAATAAAAACTGACGGCTGTTTCGTTATTAATGCAAAACAAAAAACAATACTTAAATGACGCGTCACGAGCGGAAAATTTGTGCAAAAATAATTCAAGAGTATCAACAAAAATCTAATTTTACTTTGGGTTCAACTCCCTCATTTTAATTAACAATGGGAGGAAAAGAGGCAATTAAATTGTATACAAGATTCTCCGGAAATGATATTATTTTAATTAAGACAAAAAGAGTAATCAGAAATTAATTTAATGGGGATGTTTAGTATCAATTACAAGTGTGTGGACGATTTGGGTGAGTGAAAAATAAACCAAAATTTTCAGATACATTTTAACAAACACCCACTCGTTTTGTTTCTGATGTTTGGTGTCCGGATTGGATTAATATTTCAGTGACCCTTTATGAATAATTAAAGCTGAAGTACATTTTAGGTGAGTTGTAATGCTCTGGGTGTATATCTAATCCACCTCTGCTAAGCTGTCTGAACTATTTAATCCAACTTTAAAACACTCAAATACTGTAATAACAATTCAAATGTAATTACTACTAGACCAAGTTTTATGTTTACTCTAAGTTACTCGATCGCAACAAAAATATATGTAAAAGGTCGGCTTTGTTGAATACATGAAAATAAATTTTAACAAAACAGACACAGAAGAAATTAATCAGTGCAAATCTTCCAACACCACAAATTACTAAATTGTTGAGTATTTACTGTGTAAACAAAACACCTTTTTTTACATTTTTTACAAGTGTTAATTGAACAATTTAATTAAGGGTAAGTAAATCCAGATATTTAATACTCATATCAATTTACACTTAACTAGCAGTTTAATTGGAGTGGCTAATATGCCTGCCACTGATAACGAATTGTCTACCACAGAAAACCGGTGTCAGTCATTTTAATTAATATTTGGCCGTTTTTACACCTTAGTCATTATTGGTTTTACCACAATTGCCCGTAATTTATTATAATAAAGTTTCCATCGTGAATTTCTGAGACAAATAATACAATCAAACGGATATGTGCAAATTGCATCATTTGAGATAATTAATTGTTAAAAGCATCAGTGTGTAAAGAAAATTAAATTGAAATGCGAAAGTTTCGCTAGTTTTATTACGAGTTTCTCGCTACTGCACTGAAATAAAATTTACAGAATTCACGAAATTGTTTCGGGCTAAATTCTCACCTCATTTCACGGCTTTGCTTATCAAAAGATGACACTTGATACTGGAATTTATATTCAGAAGTTCAGGGGTTATTTCTAATCTTGTATTGAGACTACCACAATTCTGCTCTGTTTGACAAACGATAAGGATTTTAAACCGGATAGAGCAAATAAAATTAAAATTTTGAAAAAACTGCAGAAATTTGTTTTGGATATATTGAAACTTTTGACGTTTAATAATGCTTGGTTAAAAAAGACATTCAATTATGTTTTTATATTAAAAATATATTTTTTATATTTGAATAAAAAAAATCTTTTAGAACAATTATTTTTTGTACTTACTTTAAGAAGAATTTTTCAGTCCGAGATAACTTTTTCACTTACACTTTTTTAATATAGTTTCAGTAAAATACCAATTTCACTACTATTTATTTTCACAAGTCTGTTGTAAAGTCATCTGATCACATGTAATATTCAGTAAGCGATTAGTCGACGCCAAACGTCCCGACGCAACTGCCTCCATGCAGCGTCCTGACTGAAATCTTCCCACTCCCTATCCAGACGCATCCTCGTCCTTCAACAATCACTCCTGATACATTTTAATAACTAAAACTAGTTAGCTTGTTCGGAATTTATTTCTTCTTAAAAAAAAAACATAATCGAATTGATTTTCAAATTTAATTAAATTTTAGAAATAAAGAATTACTCATCAACAAGCACCAAATATTTCGAGAAGAATTCGCTTCAGATTAACGATGTCAATTTGTTCCTGTACTCAGTTCCGTTGTTGAGATAATTCTTTAATTGCAAAAAGAGAAAAATCAAATAACTTTCCAAATGTAAGAAACAAATGATGATATTTCTGTTGCATTTTATTTTCTTGTCCATGGGAAAGTTTGTACTCTGTGTACTGATAATTTTTCTCTTTCTGAAGTTTCGTAAAGGAGATTAAAGCATAAAATATAAGCCATTGTACACAAATGGTGGAGGCGCCGGGAAACGAATTGGCCACAAATTTCATTTAATTTTAGTAACAGTAAGCACGTATCTGTTTTCTATTATTAGAGCCATTAATAAATGCATGTCCATTAATTAAATGAAATTATTGGAATTATTAATGTTTGGTCGTAACTATTTATTGTTTTCGCTTTGATGAAAACATACTGATTGTGTATTAAATCAACAATAAATGAAAGAATATTTTTCCACATATACTTTTGTGAAATAACCTAATGGTTGTTTATGTTTAGGATTTGGTGCGAATTCAATTGTGTATGCACCGACTAAATCTTTGGAATCACAACAAGTGCACTTTATTTTAAAAAACATATAGGTATTAGAGCTTTCCGCTGTGTCAAAGTAAAGAATAAAAAAGCTTGATGATCCAAATAAATAAATAAGATAATACTGGAATAACACGAATATTAAAGCACTTCATTAAAACTAACATTGAAAATCGCTGGTAAATTCGTGATAATTCTTGAATTTGCCAGTCTTTCACACAAAAGAGCGTTATCACATTGAATATAACCAAGTTTGGTGTACCTAACAAAAACTGTTAATTTGCAAAACCTTTGGATGTGTTCTGTAGGAGAAAATGGGATTTTCATGTGCTTGTACTAAATGAGTATAAACTAAAACAAGGCAAGATTACGAAATTTCATTTTCATCAAGAAACAAATTATAAATTCCGTCGTTAGGTGAGATGTTAACGTGGGGATTTTAAACTAACTTAAGGTCTATCGACTTTAAAGAAAGCTAAGTAAGCAGTGCCAAACTTAGAAAAGTCGTTCTTAAGAAGGTTTAGGGTTTAAAGAAAAATCATTGGTTTCAAATATTGATAATTTTTTTAATAAATATTTATATTTTTTACTATTATTAGATACATACATAAATAGTTAGGATTGAAGGTATAAGAATTTTAAGAGAAATAAAAGTAAGCAACTTTTTTGTTTTTGGATATTCTTAAATTTAATGAAGTCCATGAAAAAATAATAAAACTCTGATAAGACAGCAAAAATTCTTTTATTCTGTAATTTATAAAATTGCTCAAAGAAAATATTTACAAGGTAGTAAATAATAGTAAAGGTACAGTTAGAGACAAAATACTTTGGTCGTCAATGTCACTTGAGTGACATTAAATCGTAAAGCATGCTTTAGGACTGTTAATCTTATTTTTAGCTACTGTCATCATAGTTGCCAAGTTGTATGTATATATAGGAAAATAATATAGCTGTCATTAATTTTAAATTGTCATTCATTTTAACGTTAAAACTTGAATTACATTTAAGTGTCAGTTACTGTCATCATAGTTGACAAGTTGTATGTACATATTTTTGATGGGAAAATATAATAGCTGTCATTAATTTAAAATTGTCATTCATTTTAACGTTAAAGCTTGAATTACATTAAAGTGTCAGAAAAGTGACGACCAAAGTATTTTGTTTCCAACTGTACCTATATACTTTTTCAGTGTCAAATTCAAAAAATACAATTTATAAACGTATGTCTCTATAATTTGTGATGTAATGAATCTATTCCTATAATGTATGTCTTCTTATGTAGTTTTTTGTGTAATTAATGAGCAAAATATATTTTATATACAAAATGAAACACCCGGTACCTACTGGCTGTTTTTTTATTTTTATTCAACTTATACCCAGGTGTAGTTCGCCTCACAAAATAACAGTGGAAACTTAAAAGCTTAAATAAATTAAACAACCACATGCCACATAAAGTGTACGTATTGGGTAAAATAATTTGATTGGATGTTTAACCTTCCTTTTTTGTACTCAATATATGCATGCACTTTTTAGGCTTGCATGCATTTAACTTAATTTGCACCGATGCGACGAGTATATTGGGTCCATTTATAATGAATATAAATGTCGGGTCATATTAGTTGCTAATTGCTTTATATCTGTGAATAACAAAGTGTAGTCTGTAGCTTTATAAATAGAAAATTCACTAAGAACCCAAATCTTGTATAGAGGATAAAATAAGCTTTCAGGAAAAACTCCTAAAAGATAATAGAATAATTAAATAATACTAATCCTCTTATCAATTTTATATTACGTGTACATACTCGGTTCATTAAACTCAATAAAAAAGAAATTATACACTTGTTATAATTTGAAAAATAACTAAGTACAAAGTAATTTTCGCCAAAATAATCTTTACTGGTGTTGCCACTAAGCCAAAGATTTCTTTATCCGCCAATGGCCTCATGTCGTTGACGTTCTGGATTCATGAATAATGTATTAAAATCATCCACTTGGCTATCAGTCGCGACACGTGGAAGGCACAAATAACTTGATTAATTCATGTTTTACAATTCCATGTCTGTTACCCACTCGCCCAGTACCTTATTGAAACATATAATAACGGCAAAAAATGTATAGAAAAAATATTAATAAATATCTTATGGAATTTTTTCAAACATTTCACTGCCAAATTGATTTTTTTCAGCGACCCTTGGGATGCAATATCGATTTTACTTGAATGTCTATAAATTGTAATCTTTTTTCACTTTTTTAAGAATACAAAAATTTTATATCAAATACTTGTTTTTTTTTTTGTTTCAGGGAGATACAAAGTATTCACCACAATTGCTCGTACCTACAGTTCATGAATGTTGATGTTAAGACGAAAAATAAAACAAAACTTTACTCGTAAAAAGTAACGGATGTTGCATAGATGGAGAAAAGGCTAACGTAAGTGTAAAGTACTCGGAAACAAGTATTCTTGCAAAGCTTACACTTTGTAGCTTGACGATAGTGTACTTAAAAGAGCACGAATTACTCGTACGACGTGTAAAACATGCAAATTGCAAATCTAACTACAGAATTAAAACATGTACTTCCCTGAAATTTCACGTGGTTGTGAAAATTATTACAAGGTTTAGAGGGAACGTAAAACTGAACAGATATGTGGGTACATTTTATTCATTTTCTTACTAATACAGACAGTTAACCATAATAAATAAAAACAATTACACGGTGACTAAAAATATATTCAACTATTCAGATATATGATTATTTCCAAACGCTACAAATACCATTAGGATACCTTCTACGATACTATATTGAATTTAAAAATCGTACAGTTGTGCTGTACAAAATGGCACGCTGAGTCGCTAAACCTATCCAGGAATTTTTAACCGAAAGAAATTGTGCTCAAAACAATTGTGTGAACGTTGGAAAATGTATAAATATAACTAACCATTTGTACTTGGACTATCTCTTAACTTGGCTTTACAGTTGGCCTTTTAAAAATGAAATCACAGTACAGAAAATAAAATTATCACAATAAGAAGAATGATAGATAGAACGATGATAGCTGTCCACTGCCGCCGATCTGTAAATAAATTCATAGAAAACTAGCGAGTTAATAAGAAAAGTTTACCGTTAGACATGTGTAACACTTTCGCCATCTTTTTCAGAGTCGAGTCCAACTTCGAGTCGGTATTTTCAAGTTCAGTCCCGAATTCATCTAACATTCTACAAAAAAGGTAAACATAAAATAAACAAATGGAGTTTCGTCTTGGACAGAATAATTATTTTAAAACCGGTGGCAGACGTGGGTGTGACGCAACCTTCGGATTATTTTACCAAACAAATATTTTTTTATTAGCTAAGTGCCGTTTCCCCTATTATGTTCGTCTTGAATGTTTGCATAATATCTAACACATACAGGATACGATATCTGGGAATACCAGTATGCCATAGTATAAACCGTCTTACCCTGCTTGTTCATCAAGTTCGATTCCAATGTGTCTAGACACCGTTTTTAACGATCCAAGGGAATCACCGATAGCTTCCAAATGCTCTTCTTGTTGTCTCGTCATATATTGTTGCTGCGACAATGTGTCGTTTAAAAACTGACGTTGAGGACTGTCTAGATCGTTTTCCAGTTTGGAGTATTTTGTAGTGCCATGGCTGTTGGTAACCCTGACAGGGCTATTGTCTAGTAAGGGCTAAAAAGTTTCAACTAGCTTTAGAATTTGTACTTACTGAGTTGGAGTGGTATTTACCTGTCGCGCTGTACGATCACGATCTCTGTTTCGATTCATGTTGATTTTATCTTTCATTGACTAAAAAAATGTAAGGTAGCATTAGGCAGGTAGGTCAAAAACAAAAACAATAAATTTTGGATAATTTGAGAGAAACACCAGAAGAGTTAAATGTTTTGATTTTACACATGCGGAAAAATCAACAAATTAAAGAAATTACAGGCAAAACAAAAACTAATATAAACATCTGAAAAAGTTAATTCTGTCCATCTATAAGACATTTTTTATTTTAATCATATCTTATATTATGGACTATCTTCCAATAAATAATGTACTGAAAAATAAAACCTGAAAAAGATGGATCTTTTCTTCTATGTAAGTTTCTTGTCCTTTAACATGATAAGATGTTACTTATTTATTACCAAAGACTTCACTTGAATCCTGACTATTTAAATCCATTTTTAGACTAGGATAAATTACGTCCAAACGATGTTATACAAAAGAAAATAACAGATCAATATAGAGAACTACACTGTTTATGAATTTAAAATAACAAGTTTTATGCAAGACAAAGTCTAATAAATTTATACTCTTTCCATTCTAAAAATTACTGAATATGATGGAAAAAATTTTTGAATCTACGAGAATAAAGTCATATTACAGTTGTTACGATTGGACTATAAAAATTATTACCATCTTCACAAAGTCTTTACTTATAGTTAGTTATAAGTAGTTAATGTAGTTATGTACATCAAGAAATTTTAGGAAATCTTTTTACCTTAACTTCTTCACGTGTTGTGTCAATGAAGTTTTTCCTGATGGTAAGTTCCTTGTTGTCAATTTTAAATTTTGACGGATTTTTTTCTACAATATGTATTTAACTGTTAAGAAAAAGAAATTATAAATTTGCCTTTAAAATAAAGCAAAGAAAATGCGTTGCAAACCAAGTATTCCTGTGTTTAAACAAGTTTGATATTTGTTTTTTAGATTATAAAAGAAAAAAGGTGACATAATCACATTATTCACAAACAAGGAATTAGTGCTTATAACAAACGCATTTATCACAAAAATTGTTTGAATAAATTTGTGGAGTTTATTTGCTGAAACTGCATTGTGTTGAGAGTTTTGGAATGGAATAAAAGTTGGTTGTATTAAAAAAGGATATCAATTGTGTCTTCTAAATCCTCCAGGTCCCATTCTATGCTACGTAGAGAGTTCTTTAGCTCTGTGTTGGTCCATTCTACTTCATCCTTGGTGATGCAGATCGAGTCATCTTGTAATTCAGTCCATCGGAGATAAAGACCCCTTGTTTTGTTCAACGCTTTAAATACCTCACTAAAATTTGATTATTCTATTTATAATTCAATGAGCAATTTGTTTACATTGAAGAACCAAAATCAATATAAATAAATAGTTGAACACATATTCATAAAGCTCATGCATTGTTATAAACACAAATTTTTTGCAAATTAAATGCTAATCACAATAAAATTAAAACCCGAAAGTCTTATTGTTATTATTGCACAAACTCTTACTCTTTCACTACAAAAAACGGGTCCTCCAACGTCATGTCAATATGTGTGGGCTGGCAAGTTGTGCACTTGCAAACTCAGCAAGAAGTTGCTCATGAACATGTGGAATGTTGATTTGTTATAAACGAAGAACCATATAACTTCATATTTTAAGCAAAGTATTAAATCATAATTTTAACAACAACAATAACGTCACTTGCAAGAGTACGTCAGTGGTATTGATAAACCTACCTCTGTGAAAAACCCTAAATTCAACCCCTAATTGCTTTTATTGCTATTTAAATTAAAAACACAAAATTAACAACCCTATGCACTGTATAATCTAATTACATAACCTTTACTCGAGTTAAATGGTGATGAGTAATCGTTGTATAAACAAATACTTGATGTTTTAGTTGCAAATTTAAATAAACCGCCTTATAAATTAAAAAGAAAGTCGGTAAATGCGAAATTAAAAGTCACTAGAATTGGAGTTGAATTCAAGAAAAAGCAAAGATCATTGCAATGAGTGGAAGCGAGATAGGCAATACTAGGGTTTATAACTTCGTGAGGTTGTTCGAAAACAAGACATATCCTCTTTCATTGCCGCCATCTTGAATGGCGAAGCTCTTTCCGGTTCACCGTTGGTGGTGGTGAATGTGGTGGTTGTTAATTTGCTAATAATTTTATAAATAATTGACAGAAATTGCTGGTATGTATCACAGTTTAAACACAAATTATGTAGCATCATGAAACTAGTGAAAAGAACGCAACTGCATGTCTCCACTTTGTAAAAAGTTAATTTTTCACGTGGCACGTGTTCTTGCTTACTGAAAAAAACATCTTGTGGCCAAACATAAGAAACAATTTTTTAAAATGATGATTTTATTATTATATTCTGACACCTCTTGACAGAATTCTTTGTTGTTGACCCTCTACAACTGAAAAATATCAATTTTCTTTTTGAGGTTAGGAAGGTTTTGAGGGGTGCTTACAATTTTGTGTTATAGGTTGAAGGATGGTGGACGATTACGATGAAATACAAGCGGGGGCCATCGCCGCGCCCCAAATTGCGGAAATGCCAGAGATCAAATTGTTTGGCAGGTGGAGTTGCGACGATGTTCAAGTCCCAGATATGTCTTTGCAGGTTAGTTTTTTTTATTAGAGCTTTACTGTATATTAGCGTCAAACAACATTGAATATAGGCACTTTTTATTAAAAAAAAAAACAGATCATACGACAATTTCTAATTAACAGAGTTAAAAAGAAACGATTAAGTTTAGTTGAAATGATGAAATAACATTTTTTTTAACTTTCTGACACCTCTTCAGACCACCTCATGGTGACTAGTTAATCTGAATCTGCGCTTTTATATTTCTTCTTCATTTGTGTAAATAGATGTGCTTTAGTATTTAATTTGCAGGACTACATCGCAGTAAAAGAGAAAAATGCGAAATATTTACCTCACTCGGCAGGCCGTTACGCCGCAAAAAGGTTCCGCAAGGCTCAGTGCCCCATTGTTGAAAGATTGACCAATTCTCTAATGATGCATGGAAGAAACAACGGCAAAAAATTAATGGCCGTTCGCATTGTCAAACATGCGTTTGAAATCATCCACCTTTTAACTGGTGAAAACCCACTTGAAGTAAATATTTTTATTATTTATTATACTTATATTCTTTTGTGATGAATTAATGCTTTTTTCTGACACCTCTTCAGAAAACAATTTGTTGAAATTTAGCTACAATTATCTGATTGTAATATTTTATTATTTTTTTAAAAATTAATTAAGACTTCTTAGTAAACAACTATGTTTTTATTAAGGTTTTGGTTACTGCTATTATTAATTCTGGGCCCCGTGAAGACTCAACTCGTATTGGAAGGGCAGGTACTGTTAGGAGGCAAGCCGTTGATGTATCTCCATTGCGTAGGGTGAACCAAGCAATTTGGTTGTTGTGCACTGGCGCAAGAGAAGCTGCATTCCGTAACATCAAAACGATTGCTGAATGTTTGGCTGATGAACTCATGAACGCGGCTAAGGTAAGCTTTAAGTTTTGGTCGTGAGTGTCCTTTCTAATACTGAGGAACGTCTTCAAAGTTCCCTAGTTTCGCGAAGGACTAAAGTAAAGCATATTTATAAATTTCTAGATGAGTTTAAATTAATCATCTTTTATAAATTTGCTACAAAAATTCACGTTAATAGTGGGGAGCAATTGAGTAATCTCATTTACTTTTACAGGGTTCATCCAACTCGTATGCTATTAAGAAAAAGGATGAGTTAGAACGTGTGGCTAAGTCTAATCGTTAATTGTATTCATACTATTTGTTTGTCCTTTTGATGCATTGGGGCAAATAAAGAAAACATTTCTAATTCCATTGTTTTATTTCATTAAACCTTGTTTGGGGCATGTTGCGATTTAATATTAAATACGGCATTCTCAAGGGGTAGGATTTCAACCTAAACTCGGAACAGAGACCGAAAACTGCCCATGTACAAATTGTGATCCGGATTTTTCTTTTAATAAAAAAATAACATCTTTTACAGGAGTTTACATTTGTTCACATAAACCACAGGCTATTTTTATGTTAATTTTTTTTATGAAAACGGGATTTTAAGGGTGTGTAATTGAAAAGGTTTAAAAACATGAATTTATTTATCAACCATTTCACAAACGATGAGTACTCATGTTGAACTCAGATTTTAAGCGTAACAATAGGATTATCAAAACCCTTTTGTCTGTATACCTCCCTAATGTCATTCTCTAAGCAGTCTTATTGAAACACATCATATATTAACCCTGTTAGTTCAACTGTATGGTCCTAAAGTGAAATTATATAGTTTTGATACACTGAAATGTATATTTTTAGTGTCTGGAGTGTTTCTGTTTGTATGTATTAGGGTACAATTTAACACATACACTTATGCAACTTCCAGTAATTATGAGTGAGTTATGTTATATGTGTATGAATTTGTTTTTCTGCGGATATTTATAATTTATCCCAAGATGACACCAGAAAGTGGATGTGTTAATGTAGTACTTTGAAAGGAGAAACAGACTATTGTTCGCTAAAGAAAACTTAATTATGATTCTCTATGTACTAAAGTACATTCCGTTACCTCAAAGAACCTATGTACCTACGAATATTTGCAGAGTCAACGTAAATCCCTTAACAAGTCATGGAATTTTGATTATTACGTCTGCAACAACCTACTACGATACATACAGTATACAGCACATTATAAAATGAACCACATTCAACAGTTATTACAGAGTAATGTTGCAATAGGGTACGGTATACTAATAGAAAACGTTTGCAAAGATCGTCGTATGGATATATTGTCCTAAAAAAGTTGATAAAGTGTGAAGAAAGAAATGTACGTGAACATATTGTCAACAACAGTAACCCTATTACTGATCTTTGCAAATGTCCAATACATTGTACAATATATAAAAATGAAAACACAGAGTAAACATCCTGTCGGGGTTTGCAACAGTCGTTTCGTTACAAATATAATATATCAAGAAAGTTGATTTAGTTTTAAGATATATATTCATATCAAATCACTAAGATTGCACCACATTCAAAATCTGTAACAAACTCAACAACACTACAACTAAAATACTTTTCATGTAAGGTACTTGTACATAACGAACTAAGTATTAAATAGATGAATATGCGCAACCGTAGTGTAAATAAATTACTACCGTCTAGTTTCTACAATCAGGAAGAACTACCTATCGTCACGTCACATACACTGCGCATGTAAAACATAAAAATCCTAACAATCATTGTGACAACTAGAACATTTATGATTATTTGGCTTGTTTGATGATTATAAATAATGAGCTAACTAGTGAAGATGCATGTCAGTCAGTGAATGTTGGTCCTTATTGCACATTGGACGGTGATGTCCAGAGCCCTATTGGCGATAGAGGCAACCGTCAAAACACTTGAAAATAAAATCACAGTTAGTTTTTGTTTGCCGATCATTAAATAGTAATGTTCGCAGAGCCGCGATTGCCGCCGCAATCGCTCATCATGTTTGGCAACTTCACAATCTGAGGTTACCTGGAACTTTAAAATTGGATCGCAAAAACATGTTTTCAAAATGGACTTTTTCAAAATCTTATTCATTCGCTTGTATTGGTTTACATTTTTTTTGAAAAAATCCATGACGTTTAAATCAAATCGACACGTTTAATGCGTAAGAAGCGTGATGATGGGTTATGCTCTGAAACAATATCAAGTCCAAATTTCGTTAAAGCGATCCATTATCCACCCTCTCTGCTCTTACACTACTCGATTTTATTTATCTTTAAGAAATATGTATGATTTACACAATTATACAACAGACAGAGTGGATAACAATAATAAAAAATATTGAGTACATAGATTCGTTCAAAACAAGGGCATAAAAATACACCTTTTTCTATTTCTTGACATGTATAATATTTTATTTTCAAAGTAGGAATTGTTTATATATTTTTTGGCGTTTTTTTATATTATTAAATGATGTTCCAGACTGATTTTCAATACAATACAGGTGTTCTATTTTTATTGTTACAAATTTAACCAGGTGATAGAATATTCAATTTTAAGATAAAAGTTTCCTATAAACATATATCGAAAAATTTTATATAAGGGAGCCACATCCCCTGACAGGGGTGCATCTTTTAATAGATTTTTTCTATCGTGGATAAAATTACAAAATTTGATACAAGTGATAACCTTTATACACCCAAATGAATTCAAAGATAAAATCTCGAAATTGTTACTCAGGGGTGTCCTAAACTGGGGGGTTTAGGGCAAAAAGTACCCTGGCGGTTGATTTTTGCCACTTTCTAAATTTCATAGTTTTTCACTATAAGAGGTCTCTTGCGTTATTCGATAAAACTTACCGTTTTTGAGTAAAATCAGTTTAGTCTTAGTCTTACAGACCATAAAGAGGATGAAAATTAAAAATTAATTTGTATCACCGTTTAAGAAACCCATGATTAAAAATTTCGACAATTGATCTTCAAATTCGTTCAGGTGTTTAAAAGTAATCAGCTGTACCCACTCTTGTAATTTCATCTATTCTGAAAACCTCATTAAAATGCATCTCTTTCAGGGGGTGTAGCTCGCTTATTTTGGAAACTTTTGTCTTAAAATTGAATATTCTATCACCTGTTTAAGTTTGTAACAATAAAAACGGAACAGCCCTGTATAATAATTTAGAATTAAAATAGGTATTTTTGAATTTTAAAAATTATTGTTAGTTGCTGATTTATTATTTATAAAGTTTGAATATCTACTTTTATGGAATTGCCATTTTTTGCAATAAGTAAGAAAACAATAAGTAAACATGTTTGTAACGCTCAACAAGATTTTTTTACGTGACCGATTTATTCATCATTAGTTTTGAAAAAAAAATTAAAAATAATTTTTCAAATAGTTTATTATTACTGATTACCATTTAGTCACTAAACACAATTCGTATATTTTTATGCACATATTTCGACTAATTTACAAGTATAAAATCTGAAAGGATAGTAATTTATTCAGATTATGTTTAAAAAAGAACATCAAGTATGTACTGATTATAAATGTTTAGAAATTGTGTGAAAAAGGAACCAGAAAAATGCCTTGAAATTTACTATACCATAAATTGATCACGGGTAAAATAAAAAAAATATTGGGGTTATGACAAAGATACCCGATTTCATTCCTGTATCCACAATTGGCCATTTTACATTCTTACTCCCAATATGTAAACAGAAAATCTATATAATCGTATAAAAAACTATCCACGGAAGCAAATAAAGCCGCAATTCCAGACATGCAACGTGGCCTTTGCATTAAAACTTTGCAAATTAGCATGAAATGGTTACATGAGGAAGCAATCTGTGAACTAACAAATCCAAAAGACGCAATCGATTAAAATCCAAATAACTGCAAAGCGTGTGTTTCTGAATCACTATAGCAATAAAAAAAACCTTTGGATCGGGCGAGTTTCTTACCGGAGTGTCCAACAGTCAAAACTTCAATAGGCAGTGATCCTCTTCGCCGAGCCAGCAGCGCATCAGGATTTTCAGGTCTTCGCAGTAGCAGTCGTGAACATCCTTCAGAATGCGATGATTCCGGTAGGCAGACAGTTTCAGGCCCGCCCGAACTGCGCCTACGCAATTGCTTCTTTCTTCGGCCAGATTTGCCGTTGAGGCTGGTATGACGGGTGAGTTGCTCCCGTCGTTCCCCACCTGCTGGAGGCAAGTCGATGGGGGCTGAGCCCCTGCGCTGATACTGCCAGAAGGAACGAGTTGTCTCCACAGGCGTGATGTTTATTACTTGTTCTAAATTCTCATCCGCATACGAATCTGGAGCGGTGTACACTGAAAATTCAGCCAAACACGCCAGTTGAAGCTTTTCCGGAAATTATTTAACAAAAAAAGTAACTTGTTTATTATACTGCTGAGAGATTTCACGTTTCACGAAAATTGAGTATCACGGTTTTGTCCTTTCAAAGAAAATAATTAGTTTGTTTGTGTTTCACATCTACATAATGTTGAAGAGAATTAATAAATAATTTAAAGAAAATACTTATTAATTCCGGAAAATAATAAGGAAGATTAATATTAATGTTTTGAGTGTTTTTTTAAAGACTTTATTTTTGTTATTTGAGAAATAAAAAGGATCAAAATTTAACTTTTATTTGTGATTCTTACATATTATTTGATATTTTTATTTGCAACAACTAAAAAAATAATTTTCTTTCAAATGTTTTGAAAAAACGATTTTCATTTTCATTTGAAATTGATGAGGTTTTATTCTTCTTAGCTCTAGAATATTTTTTTAAATAATACTGCTTCTTTATAATTGAAATACAAAATGTATTAACTAAATAATATTTCTCTTTTTTGCAAAAGAATTATGTGATTATTGTGAAGTGGAAATCTGTCATGTATTTTTGAAAATTGATAAACAGAAATGTTTAATTTAAGTTTATTGAACCTAATTTCGCTCAATAACATTAACCAAACCATTTTCGCAGAGTTCGGCAAAGCAAAGTTGATTATATTTCCGCGCTTTTAACTTAAAAACAGTGACAAAATAGTTTCTCTTGTATTGTATTACAAAAGTTTGTAACTATAATGTGTTGAATTTTGCCTTTAATGGAAAATTGATGTAGTGAAGTAGTCTCCACGAGTAATGCTACGAACGCATATCAAATTTCGTTCGTAGTGTAGATTTTCTCTTTTTTCCAACGATACAATATGTGACATTACTTACGATAGTGAGCAATTTCAATTGGCACTGATCCCCTTCGCAGCGTCTGTGTCTCAGACAGACATAATCCTCCGCCCGCAGAGGATACGTTGTCATCTGGGCCAC